GGGAAGGAACATCAAATTGAAAAAAGTCGAGAGGGGGGAGCAGAAGTGTTTCAAAGATGTAAGAGACAAACACAATGGTAGAACAAAGGTGAGGTGAATACTGTGAAATAGTCGAATATGGCATTGAGTGAGGTGAGGGTAGTTGAAGTGGTCGAATATGACATACATTGGGGTGATGGTAGTCTGTGAAATAGTCGAATATGGCATTGAGTGAGGTGAGGGTAGTTTGAAGTGAGAAGTCAACTGCCAGTTAACTCATGGTAGTTTGAAGTCAGAAGTCAACTGCCGGTTAATAGATGGTAGTTTGAAGTGAGAAGTCAACTGCCAGTTAATAGTATGGTAGTTTGAAGTCAGAAGTCAACTGCCGGTTAATAGGGATCTTTTTGCCTTATGAGTATACGTTGCCCAGGGTGCACCACATTTTGCCGTATGAGTATGCGTTGCCCAGGGTGCACCACGTTTTTGCCGTATGAATATACGTTGCCCAGGGTGCACCACGTGGGCAGTTTGAAGTACCAGTCAATAGACTTTTTTCCGCATAAGTATACGTTGCCCAGGGTGCACCACATGGAGGTTGTAAGTACACGTTGCCCAGGGTGCACCACGTGGAGGTATGCCGTTTGAGTATACGTTGCCCATTGGTTTATAGACTTGTTTGCCGTATGAGTATACGTTGCCCGTCAATGGGGTGATGGTAGTTTGAAGTGAGAAGTCAACTGCCACAATGGGGTCATGGTAGTTTGAAGTTAGAAGTCAACTGCCTTTAATAGACTTTTTTGCCGTATGAGTATACGTTGCCCAGCGGTTTATAGACTTTTTGCCGTATGAGGTCTGTTGCCCAAATATGACATACAGTGGGGTCATGGTAGTTTGAAGTCAGAGGTCAACTGCCGGTTTATAGACTTTTTGCCGTGTTAGGGTTAGATCAACTGCCGGTTTATAGACTTTTTTGCCGTATGCGCATACACAATGACATACAGTGGGGTGATGGTAGTTTGAAGTGAGAAGTTGTGACATATAGTGGGGTGAGGGTAGTTTGAAGTCAGAAGTCCACTGCCGGTTTATAGACTTTTTGCCGTATGAGTATACTTTGTAACATACAGTGGGGTCATGGTAGTTTGAAGTCAGAAGTCAAGGCATACAGTGGGGTCATGGTAGTTTGAAGTCAGTGGTCAACTATACAGTGGGGTGATGGTAGTTTGAAGTGAGAAGTCAACTACCAGTCAATAGACTTTTTTCCGCATAAGTATACGTTGCCCAGGGTGCACCACATGGAGGTTGTAAGTACACGTTGCCCAGGGTGCACCACGTGGAGGTAGCCGTATGGATGCCAGTTAATAGACTTTTTTGCCGTATGAATATACGTTACCCAGGGTGCACCACGTGGAGGTAAGTTTATCGCACACCCCGCATTTGAAATCATTGTTGTTTGTCTGTATATTTACTATTGCGGGTTTATAAAAATAGTAGAAACATCATATTTTGCATGAACAAATTAAAGATACCAAGTCACACCCTCGTGAAAAGAGAGTTGAGCGGCGTTATATATATACATATAGCCAGCCCCAGTGTCGCTCTAATGACCATAGTAAATAACCATGTTTTGAACATGCTACAGAGCGGTAAGCGGATATACGATGGCTTCTTGCTAACTACCACAAAGAATTTATTCGGTCACATCCTTACAGGACACACATAACAACACCTAAGACCATGGATGAAAATGTGATTGGGAAGCAAAAAACGATAGAAATATTTAAAGGAAAATTGAGAGCAATAATGCGAAATAACCAATGTCCTATCAGAATATCAGTAAGCCAAAAATGCAAGGAATTAATTTCCATTCCCAAATCTGCATCATATTGAGTATCCACCACCTTCATATCAGAACTTTAAAAGATATCAAAAATTATTTAACAATTGGCTTTCTAATTGGCTTCTAGTTTACAAAGAATATTTATGCAGATCGAAAAAGACTGGAATAAATTCAAACCTGTGGTAAAACTTTGGGGGATTGAGACATAAATGATACGAGTATTATATAAATATATATCTGAGTAAATAAATAATTTGTTTGTATATATTACACATAGAAAGCTCAGATTTCGTGAATAGTTACACATCAACATTTAAGACTAACTAGTGTCTTTTCAAACTCGAAACATAGAGTGGATATGTTCTGAACAGATAATATTAATTAGAACATTATTATATGAATGCACGTCGAGGCAATATTGTTTTAGAAAGTCATATCACTTTCGTTTTAAGATTGAAAAATTAAATCTTTAGATGACAGCAAAATTTATTATTGCATTTTGCAAAATAAATTACGTAAACTGCGATTGTTTAATATCAAATTTAACAATTGTTTCAATTTTGTTTTTACCCATGACGGTAGGTGTGCTCAATATAAGCACTAATTTGTATACTCCAATCAACAATCGCGGCTTTACGCACTTCTCTGAACGTCTTTATTTGTTATTAATTAAAGTGATGGCATCTCCACTTCCTTCTGTGAGTTTGAAAGATTGTTTAATAAACTATCAGGGTATTTACTTTTATATTAAACTCAATCCTTTAACTTGAATGTAAATTCTTGTATTTGATCCCAACTGATCGATTTAAAATTTTATGCACATTACATAATTTATAAATATCGCTTAGCCATATATTTACAAACCTTCTTTTGGCTCATATTAAATTACACTAAGTTCGTTTAAGTTGTTTTGCAATAGGTTTTTAGTCGACTTTCTAATCATCATTTGATTTTATTAGTACTAATTGCTTTGGCTGTTTTTTAATTGCACCGAGCTATCTTCAGTTCCTTTCAAAATATTTTCCGCTTTTTTAGAATAATGTAATTCTTATTATCCGTGCACTTTTTTAATATTAAATCTTTTCTTTTTGCAATTCTGTTTGTAATATTTTAGGCTACTGCAGTTTATGATCCATCTTCTGAATCAAACCCCAATCTCCACGTAACTCAACACGTCGATTTTGATTTGAAAATTGATTTCGACACTAAAACAGTTAGTGGTCATGTTAAACTCATGATTGAACAAATCGCTAAATGCAAGGAAAAGATGGATGCACTGGTAAGAATTTAGCATTTTTGTATCTAGTGCCACCTTTGCGAACGCATATTTCATTATAAATTAATGTTCTTTTCGTGCTTTGCTAGAAACTTGATTTAAAGGATATTAATGTCTCCCGTGTAACATTAAATGACGTTCCAGTTGACTTTGAAATCAATCCGGGCACCTCTCCTGCTCTTGGCAGCGTTTTATGCATAAAAGTTGGCCAGCAGACTTCTAAGTACGTTAGTGAGAATTTGTTTTTATGAAGAAATTTTAATTATTTTGTATTCTTTTTTATCTTTTCGTAGATTCGCTGTGGTGATTGAGTATTCTACAACTCCCCATTCATCAGCCCTCCAGTGGTTGGATGCTCAAATGACTGCCGACAAGCGAAATCCCTTCCTATTCACTCAGTGTGAAGCTATACATGCCCGCAGCCTCTTTCCCTGCCAAGATACACCGAGTGTTAAATTCACTTATACTGCCAAGGTCAGTTTGCAATTTATTTTTCGACTTTCATTGGAGCTGTTTGAAATTGCTCACTAATGTTTCATGTTTTACTGTTTTGATCTTTTGGAATTTTCTCCTTTATTCGTGCATTGGGCATGTTTAGCTAATCCTATCCCCATTGATACGAGCCTTGTAATAGCATTTTTTACTTAATGCAACTTGATCTCCTTTTCAGATTTTTAGAAGCTGCTGGTGGTATTCATCCTATAACATTGTATTCCTATTTAGATGTAATTTGGCGAGTCTATTTATTTCTTGAAAAGGGTCAAATTTCAATACTTGATATTTTTTTCGTACCCCTAGAATGTGTCGAATTAGTGTTTTTACCTTTGATTTTCTATTTCGATTTTAACTCTATAGTAAACGTTATACAACTCATAGACCCTTATGCGTTACTTGTCGTTTTTCTTTTGCTCTTTATCTATCGGTCAAGTTAATGTCCCATATCTAAGACAGTTCCTTCATTTGGCTATGTGAGTGTTTAGGCTTCGCTTTTTATTCACTGCTTTTAACCGTTTTGTCGGAAGGCATTTACTAATGATGATGATGATTTAGATGACATTCTTGGGCCTCCTTGATATACGGTGACTCATCATTCAGGTCAACCTGCTTGCACTAATGGATTTCGGACCTGTGTATTCTACTTGGTGTTGTGGACTAGCTTTTTTTAACCCTGAATAATTCTTGCTAACTTCTCCTTGAATTACTTTCATATAATATAATTATTGTGTCGGGTTTAGAAATTTTTGTTAGAGCGTCTGTCTATTTGTTTAGCTAAGGTACTGATGACTTATCTTTAGTTTCAAATAAATTACAGAGACTTAGTATTCAGAGATCGTAAAGCAAAAGATAAGGTTATTTTTTGCTGCCGATATCCTTGCGTAATGCAATGTCTCATTTTGCCCAGTTTCCTCTAATAACAGCACCATCTAAAACGCAGATTTGACTCACTATATATATAGTAAACGTGAATTTGAGAATAGATTAGCCACAAGCACTAATTATCTTCCATTTTTTCACTTGGGAAGATTCGTTTCATTAATACTTAATTCCTACCAAGGTGATTTTTTCGAACTCAGAATTTTAGACAGGAAAATTGTCCCATATATCTTTTTATTTGTTGACTAATTGATGTGACCAAATTGTCATCAGGTGTACATGTCTATGAATTTCGGACTCGTATCCCTTGAAGCGTCGGAAAACCACTTCTCTCACGAATTGAATCACCTTTCTGCTCTTAAAAGAATTAAATTTTCTTGATCACATGATCTAATTGGATTAAGTATTCTTTCTGTGTTGCGTTAGTTCATCGTTGCTTATTTTTTTTGTCCATCACCAGCTAATTGGATTTATAATCTTTTTCCAATAGTCCGGATGCCTACTCTGTTTTAGAATGCAATTGAAAATGCTAGTTTCCTTTCATCTAAGCATTAAGAGCACATTTTTGTCTTATTTAGTTAATGAGCACTGTCTTCCTATTGTTAAATTCTGATGATTTTGTTATCAATAGCCTTATGACCCCTATTTCTGCTCTCTGTGTACTGTCGCACTCCCACTCCTTTCTATAGGTATAAAAGAGTAGAAAATTAGCTTCATTTGGAAACAGTGGTAGGATGCCTTTAGGGGGCTCTCAGTTAGATTGTTACTAACCATTAAGGAGGCAAAGCAGTAAAAAGCCAATTAGTTCGTTCCCTTTCACCTACTTCAGATTGACTTTTTTAAGTATAGATGCTTGCAATAGAATGGAGGCTGTATTGGAAACCGAATGATGACTAGATTGCATATTTTCCATTCCTGCTTCTTGGACTTGTGTTCCATGTGTTGTCTCACTCTTCTCTTAACTACAGAGACATTCTGTCGCGAAAATTTTAACTTAACTATAAGGCATTGAAACACGGCACAATAGTAAATGGATATTTTTAAATTAAGTAGGCGAAGGGACTAAGGTCAACGCATTATTTGCCATCTACATCTGAAGTTTTGGGGGTATGGCTTTTTTTCTCTTTTTTTCTAAACAAATTATTCAACATTAATAAAACGGTAACAACAGTTGTCTTATGTTGAACCCCCCGTCGAAACCTTTTTTAAAACAATTTGCGGAATGTGTACGCTGAATAGCCCATTATGATTTGTTGGACATGAGCAAATCTGTTACAATCGTGGTTTTTGGTTGTCAACAATTGGAAATTCTAAACCATAAATTAGAAGAGAATCGTACATGTTTATTCAGTAGAAAAGGGCCAAAAGCCAATATATCGAATCTAGTTATCGGCCATAACATCCAGAAGCTGACGCCTTAAGCTAAGCTTATTGTAATGACTTTATCTATTCGACGATCTAATATTTATTTATATCAAATGGCAGGCGTCTTGATGTTTATCATTAGCCCTTTAGTTGACTTCAGGCCTCACAGAGGGGAAGGAACATCAAATTGAAAAAAGTCGAGAGGGTTAGGGAACAGAAGAGTGTTTCAAACATGTAAGAGATAAACACAAAGGTAGAAAAAGGTGAATATACGTTGCCCAGGGTGCACCACGATCTAATATAAGTAAGTGATAAACAAATGTGGAATTTTCCGAACTCTTAATGACGTGCCAGTTATAATTTACTTCAATTCGTTAAGTTGCTCAATCTGATGTGTTGCATTTGAAGGTACTTGCGCCAGCCAATCTTCAAGTGTTGATGAGCGCTACCAAGTCTAATTCGACGTCCTCTGAGGTGCAGGAGAATTGGGGAGCTCACTACTTCTTTCAGAATGTTCGAATCCCCTCCTATCTCATTGCTTTGGCTTGTGGTGAACTAAATAACTCGTAAGTGAGTTTGTTCTTAATTGAAAGTGAACTTTGGTGCACGGTGTTTACATTTTTTGGAGGGACATCCATTAACAGGTCAAGGGTAACAATAAATCCTTGCTTTTACTTACGTCCTTTGTTATTAGTGATTTTGGTGGGTTTTTAGTGCTAGCCGTCTAACTTACCTCAAATCTAATCTGAAGGAGTTCAAATTCCCTCTATTTTGCTGTGAAGAAAGCCTTGGGGTTTTTGGGACCTATAACTAATGGCAAGAGCTAAATACTTTGAGTGATCCTTTTAGTAACTAGTCGTGAATTACACATTGGTTTGCGGCACTTCTATTACATTCTTCACATTTGGGCAGTTGTGGGAAAATTTCTCCAACTCTTTTACCCAAAACTTCCTTCGATCTATCAGATATTAAAGAGGAATATGAGGTAAATTTACACACTCATTAATAATGCAAGTTAATGGACATCTCATGGAAGTCTTCGGTTTTTTTGGCAAAACTTTCATGCCGATTCCCACCTCATGGAAATTTCACCGAATATAGTAAGGCATTAAGCTGATTAACCATGTGCGCCGCTTACAGTAGAATCATTGTGCCTCAGTTCAAACAATGAACACTTTCTCCCGCTGCCATTTATGAATTTTTTTCTGTTATTATTATTATTATGCTGATCGCGTTCACTGATTAGCGGCAGAACGTAAACTTACTTCGTTTGCCAAGGGCTGATTTATATGCTTATGTCCATGTGTGGTGTTCCGCTATGTTGTGTCCATATTTTATGGTGGCAAATTTTTTTGATCTCCTAGAACCACCACCATCATAACTAATCAACTTTGGTAGGTTGAAGTCTCCAAGTTGCACTCCATACTAGTTGCTTTATCACAAGTTAGTATTGGGAAATAGTCCAATCTTGTAGTAGTTATCACTTTTAATGCTCAAATAAGAGTGTACGATCATTATTTACGCTATATTCGTACCCCAATGCGTTTTGTATCAACGTGACTTGTTTTCAGACCTATTGGACTAAATTCGCGAGTTTACGCCGAGCCGAGCGTGCTATCCCGAGCTGCACGAGAATTGAACACCGTTGATCGAATGCTAGATGCTGCTGTAAAAATATGCGGTCCCTACTCCTGGGGATGCTATGACATCCTTGTCCTACCCCCAAGCTTTCCCTATGGTGGCATGGAGAACCCTCAGTTAACCTTTGTCACTCCCACCATTCTTGTAAGTCTTCTGCCTATCATTTTTATTAGGCTCATTTTAAAACTTTAGCTTGTAAGTTGACATTTTGGAAGGCATTGCTACGATGTCCTCGCTAAGTATCTTTAGAGGTACTAGTAAGTGAGTGTGAGTAGGTTGTACTACTTGTATTGTTCAGCACTTGCTATTAGTTTTAATTATATGTTTCTTCCACGTTATGCGTCGACAACTAAAGGGTAAATCTTGCACCACACATTACCAACCATTCTTTACTTATAACCTCTCATTTTTGCGCTTAATGGAATAACCTATTTGTAGATTGGTAGACCAGACGTATCTATGACAGTCACTTTAGAATGTTTGATCACCCAAAAGTCTCCTCAATACTTCTGGTTGTGGCATTAGTGCCGTGCCGCGATGGCAGGTATTATGAAAACCCTATCATTAAACCCCTGTCTTTTAATTTAGTGGCTTTATTAAATGGAAGCTCACGATTAAGGGAAAATAACTTATGTTTTCACCCCTTCTGTCGTCTGCGGGCTCTATTGAAGACAGAAGTATAGGATTGGTTGCTTTTTATCACTAAGCCTTCTTCTTCTAGTTCAGGAACCGAAAGTTCGACTTTATAAGTGCAAGTCTTGGGTAAAAGCGCAAATCAATAAAAGGATAGATAGGAAAACGGAATATATCCACAGGAAACGTGGGGGGAGGGGGGGGGGGGGAGAGATATTTAACAGAGAACATATTTCACGATCACAGCTGATTCATTTTGGAAGTTGAAGTCCACCAAATTGGATGTTCTCTATGCAAGCCTCTGCTCATGGCAAGAGCTATAAATCTTCACTTAACAATAGCAGATAATGATGTCAAACTATCTTCCTCCTGGTTTGTGAATGGGATTTATTATTGTCACCTTTTCATGCATATTTCTCGAAGATACTATTTGGTGTAAACTATCTCCCACACTAATTTGCTGTTGTAAACTACCATTGCTTAGTACAAAGATTGTCTGATTTGGTCTGTTTGTTGATCATTAGCATTGAACTGATTAAATTCAGTAAGTGGTTTACAGTGGTTACCTTTTGATTCACTATCTCATTTAATTGACTAATTAGTAGTCCATTTTCACAACATATATTTCTTGAAATTACCAATATACCAGCTCTTATTGGTTAGTCATAGCCAAAGCGTTTGGCCATCTCGATTAACTGGAAGAGAACTATGACGGGCATTGTTATTGTGGTTTCTGACTTTGTAATCAATGTATAGGGTTAACTAATCAATGAAAATTAAGAAGATCCTGGCTTTTCAATAAATGGTTTCAGTTGACTTCAGTAAGGAGCTAATTTTGCCTTTGCCTTGAATGAAATTCCATTAAGTGTGCTCCTCTTTTCTTCCTACTTCGAATGCTTTTTTTCTTTTAGATAAAAGCCAACCACTTCTTTATTTCCACTTTTTCGGTATGAAGTGGACAGTTGATTAGTTCACCTTGTTAGGCTCTATGTGGCAAAAGATTGTGCCAGATGGTAGATAGATAGAAAAAGGTCCTTGATATATATATATATATATATTTGAGGAAGGGTTTAAAGCACCTACTTTGAGTAAATGATAGGATTTTGTAATCATTCTTGTTGAAAATTCACATTATATTATCCATCATGCTTAAAATATGTGATTTCATCGTTTGGTCATTCGTATTCTGGCATATGCATTCATTCCCTAATTTCCTGCCTGGTAGATGTGTTTACTGGTCACTGAACCATCGCCACACCTAGAGATATAAATTTGTCTCTAGGAACAAATTAGAGTAAATAAATGTTTCCTATATTATTATACATACTAGCGCACTAACTTTGACATTAGGACACTACGCCTATGCCATTGTACTGTCTCCACATATTTTTCACTATCCATAAGTGTTGCACATTTCTGACTGCCATCGTTAAGCGAAAAAAGACAACTTGCATTTAATTTTTCTTTGCTGTCAAACGTATTGTACATTTTAGGCAGGAGATGGGTCTCTGCTTTCCACCATTGCTCATGAAATAGCTCATTCATGGACTGGTAATTTGGTAACCAATGCCAACTGGGAGCATTTTTGGCTCAACGAAGGACACACCGTCTATGTGGAAGGTCTCATTCTCGAAGAGCTCTATGGAACTGACTACCGCGAACTCTTTATTGAACTGGGTTACGAGATCCTACAAGCTTGTGTAGGTTTCTACTCTCCAACTCCTTATTGCTGATCTAGTTTCATAAGCAACATGTTTGAATATTTTTTTCTCATTAGCTCCAAGATGAACTCAAGGAAAATCATCCTTTTGCCAAATTGATCCCTTGTTTAAAGGGAGTACACCCGGATGACTCCTTCTCCATTGTGCCATATAAAAAAGGTTCTCTTTTCCTCTACTACTTAGAGAAAAAGTATGGCAAGGGTAGGTTGGTACTTTGTTTCAAGCTACGGTTAACTTAATTCTTTATATGATCCACTTGTTTTCATCACATTATCTTGTAGAGGCTATTCTAAAATGGTTGAGAGCGTATATCGACAATTATCGCGAAAAGTCTATCACTACAGACGAGTGGAAGAAATTTTTAGCTCAACAACTGGGCGAACAGGTCCTGCATGAGATTGATTGGGATGTGTGGCTATTCTCTCCTGGTCCTATTCCATGGGTCCCATTGTAAGTAACTTCTCTATTTAGGTTCGTATTTCAAGCTTTATAGATGATCTAATTACATATACTCCCATTGTAGGACAAACCGGGTGCTATCAAACGTGGTTGATGAAGTAGCAGAAAAAATCAGAACCACATCCTTGCTTAATGATACGGAATGTGCATCTTACTTGCGTTCCCAGTACGAATTAATGATTCCACTCCAACGCGAATTACTATGGCAAAGATTGCTCAAATATGTCCCGCTTCCGCATGATAACCTCAATGTTCTCAATACCATGTTGGCACTATCGCAAACTCAAAATTCTGAAATCCGTTTTAGGTTTGTAATTTTTTCGGTTTAAATCGATTACTTATTATTTATGAGTAATTATATTATTTCGTTTTAGGTGGTCACAAATTGTAATCAGCTCACAATACCTACCAGAACTTGATGGGGCCCTTGAGTTCCTTAATAGCCAGGGGCGTATGAAGTTTACTCGACCGTTATACAGGGCTCTAATGGGATGGCCGAGTATTAGAACACAGGCAATCAACAACTTTAAGGCTAATAGGCCCTACATGCACCCGACAACTGCAAAACTAGTCGAAAAGGACATTGAATCTGCCCAATCTCAATAAGAGGGGGCATATTTCTATCTTCTCTAATCCTTGTGATTTGTTGTTGCTAGTCGTATTGTTGTTTAGTGCTTGCTTCCCGATTCTCATCTCTTTTTGTCCTTCAATACAAAAGACTACCTCCCACCGTCCCCAAACTGTGTACCCTTTGTTCTAACTGTGTCTCGCCCCAGATCTTACAAATTTGAAGTTCGCTTTGAAATTCTTGTCTTCCTTCTTTTGCTTACCAGAAATACTATGACTATGGAAGCAAATCCAAAATTAAACCCTTGAATATTATTGGCTCTGTATACTCCGTTTCTCTAGACTCTTAATGAATGCACAGACATGCACTTAGATCGCGATCACCGAGGAGTATCGTAAGTGCTACGTGTAAGATTGTAGTCTATTATAGGTAAGGTTGCATGAGTATGTCAGCCCATAGACAATTAACAAAGTGTCTGAGCTCGACTTGCATAGCTGGTGAGCTCATAAGTATCAACTAATATGGTGGTCATACAAACCATCCATAACTGATTCAAAGATTTTGAAAAAAATGCTAACAACAGCCTAGTCCTTGTAGATGCTGTATCCCCCGTATACGCTTTGATTTCACATTGGTTAAGATCCACAGAATCTACAGTTATCTTCCACGTTGCATGCCAATCGCCTCCTCTTCATTCTCGCTCAACAAAAATGCTGATGACATCACCTCATGTTGCATTGTCTACGAAGAGCTGTAGTTCAACGAATTTCCTCAACCAAAGACCTAGTCCACAATCATACACCGCTGCACCAGATTAGAAAATTATTCCACTCATCTACAATCTAGCCGAAAACAAACGCAAAAAACATAAAAAGCCAATCTCCTATTCTGAATTTCAAACATTGAAAGGAAGGAGCGTTTACCTGTAAAACGTCAAATGAGTTAAATCTGAAACTAGACCTATACAGAAACGGTCAAATAATCAAATCAATAACTACAAACTGATAGGGAAGACATTTAAACGATCCCAAAAAACTGACCTTCGTTTTATTGATATCAGTGAGGCAAGCAATAATCACAGCTTAAATTACTCAAAACCAAACAATGATAACAAATTCATAAAACAATTCGATGACTAAACGATATACTGATATAAATAATTAATATAAAGCACTACACAGATAACCGGAAGAAACGCTGTAGACACTTGATATTAATAGAAAAGTACAAATACCACATATCTACAACTACATGCTCAGAAAAATGGGCAAATTAATCGGTGTGAATTTTAGAAATGATCTGTATGAAGCATTCATGCACACAAAGGAAATCACAATAATTTAGACCTAACGACCATTCCATACCCAGCTATCCAAATCGAAAAAAAACGGCAGAAAGTGCGAGCATCCATTTTAAGAAATGGCTTTATTTATGCCGATTATGACTCAATAACTTCCTCAGTGTACTTATTCTTGTCCAGGGCGTGTTTGTTGGCAGCCTTGCGTTCTAAGAGATCGCGTCGGTCGTTATCAAGCTTGAGCTTGGTAATCACAACCTAGAAAATAATAATTAATAAAAGTGTAACATACGTTGGACGGATGAATGCCAATTGGAACGTAAATGCCGTTGCTCTTCTTGCACTGAACGCGTTCGACATGAATGACGAACTTCTTTCTGTACACTTTAATCACTTTGGCGGAGTTGTTGTCTTTACGCTCACCTCGCACAATTTGGACCTCATCTCCACGTCGAACAGGCATGCTACGTACCTTGTATTTATTACGAAGCTCCTTTGACAAAGGCGCACTCATGAGACGACGTCTAATGTGAGATGGAGCATTAAAATGCCTTTTACGCTGTTTGCGGCTTGAAGAAGTCACAGCCTTATTAAACTTCATGGTCTAACACGAGCAATCCGTGGAGTGCGGTACAATCGTACTAAAACAAGCCCACTAAAACTCTTGACAATTAATTTGGGAAAAATAAAAAACAAATAGAAATGTTAGCTAAATATGCTTTTAACGCATTTCGATAAATATTTTCAATTATTTGTATTATAAATTACCTTGGTGTAATATCTCCGTTAATGCCTTTCGATACTTTTTTTCATTTAGATGATGAATGGGTATAAATCGTCTACTTTTAAACTTTTCTACCACTCTGGGTATATTGATTGTACTTGAAAAGAAAATAAATGTTAGCATTTACATAATTGTTAAAAAATGTCAATAATAAATTTGTGCATATTCGATTCCATTTTTATAAAATCTGAGTCACTGCTAGAATTCTCCATTTATGGATTCGCTTTTAAATATTGCAATTTATTTGTTCCATCGCTTTGCGCGAAGTATGATAGCACTTGAAGTATTACATCTTTTATTTTAATAAATTATTTAATTGTTCTTAATAAAAGTTATTATACCAATTAAATCCAACATTGCAGCATTTCAGGTTTTGGGGATTCTCCTAACTTTTTCCACCCTGAGAAATACTACTGAATTTTGTTATAATGATTCAAATTACTGCCGCGACGGTCTCTAAGGTATGCCATACGATGATCAGTGAAGTCACATTTTATAATAGTAATATTAATAATGATAACAATATATTCAGATGTTTCAACTCGTGATTTCATTTACGCAGTCGGCGATTTCACACTTGACTGTTGGCGTCTTCATTGGTACATACTTGTACACAAATATATATATAAGAGTAATTTTAATGCTAATGTAGTGTTATGGAAGAAATTAATTCTATTCAAATAATAAATTGCACATATACAGAGATATTCAAATGGCTTTATTAAACTACATTTTCGATCACCCAATGTTCAGAAATCAAAAACTTCCGATGTAAGTCAAGAAATAGCACTATCTTTGATTTAGTCAGAAGCTGGAGAAATGTCCATTAGTATACAGAGAGCTATATGCACTACTACTAATACACTTCTAGCTTCTATCATTATCCTTCGTAAATATTGAGACGAACCGTTAACAGTGTAGTATGTTTGCCAAAGTTTTTTGATAAAATTTTAGATGGCAGAAATATGATTATTTATTAGTTTAATCTAGCTAATGTTGATCCAACTTAACCAAATTTCTTGGTGGTTACTAGCAAAATGATCCTACTTTGGCAAGAACTTAAATCTTCATGAGGTAGATCTAAGTGCATATTCACAAAAGTGTGATTGGGTCAAGCTACTTTCGTTCGAGTTTGACGGAAAGCCTCGCCGATTTGAGGATAATTAAATGCTTTTATATAGAATAATATCGAGTGGACATCGAACATGCCTCGTCGTCCATGTTTTGATGTCATTATTTGAACTAATTTAGGCATCTGTACGAGAACACACGCACGCTCAACTGAACCGACTACAAACGCTATAATGAAGGTCTTATCGCAAATAAATTGTGGCTGATCGATAAGTGCTAACTCACAGCCACTCTCTCCTACAAAAGACTAGCTAAAATTAATATTTAAATAAATCTCAATATTTCAAAATAAGCATATGATAAGCTTGAAAACTCAAAATCTATCATCGCCAAATTGATTGACCGTGCTAAAGAAGCTTTATTTATGTAGGTAACAGTTTCCAATAAAATATAAGACTTTTAAAGAGAAACGTTGCTCTTCGATAATGTAGAGAACTCCAAGGTTGATGTGGAAGTTGGTATACGATGAATGAGAGGCATTTAAAAAGATCTATACCGTGGTGCTTTACTGTCTGTCTGACTTCCTTCCATACTGGGTATTGAATAACGCTTTTTATGTTACTGATAATGCTCCACCAACTGACGCACAACTACCATGAGCAAAATTTTCGGAAAATTAAGTTCATAGAGTTATGTTTGTGCTTATATATACGATTATGAAAACCCATTTTATGCTTACAACTCCTTATTGACGTTTAATTTCGAAAATGGCTCTAGTTATCACTAAAATGGATACAAACCCAGAAGTATCGAATAAATTCTAGTTCAAAACGAATCAGCATTAAGATAAAGTTGAAAAAAATGAAGAGGTTTTCATTTTCGTATAGATAAGCAAGCACACGAAATTGTATACTTAATTTTGCAAAAATATGTGTAATAAAACTTGATTGGGTATATAAAATTCCTCTACTTAATTGCTTTAATAAATGGAATTAAAAAACTAAACAATTAGCAAACTTTATAGTTTGCCGGAAAATAGCAGAGAATTTTTAGTTCATAAAATCAATCGGTATCAAGTGCATAAAGAAATTTATTATTTTGAATTAAAAAATGTACAGATTTCAGATGCAGGAGTTTCCACATTTCTTGCATTAAGACTGATATATCGCGATATTTAAAATAGCGAAATAATTCGAAAAAACTTAAATTTTGCTAGAGCAGATGTCAATCTAGCAGTAAAATAAACCAGTATCAGAATCCACACAGAGTCCAGATATTTACAAGGAAACCATAGAAACTATTCAGCACACAAAGGCATCGGTAATTAACCACAACTGCTTTCTCATAAATAGAGGATATTATGTAAAATTAAACTAGGTTCTTGGAACCATGGGTACAATTCTGACCAAACTTGTGGATGAATTACTCCTTTAGTGTATTCTTGATTGAATTTACAAAATCTTTTGATGATTGAAAGAAAATTACTTTCAAGTAAAAATTTTAACCCATTTCTATACTTCCTTGTTAACGATGTAATCAATTTTTTAATGCTTTGCAAGCAAAATTTCACCTAAATGATGTACATATAAAATCTGTCATTAAGCTACAGGTTAACATAATAATTTAGATATACAGATTTCAAAAGCCACTCAACTGTTATCGATTTCTGATAATGGGTAATCTTGAAAATCGAATTTATCTTAACCATTTAATATTAAGCTAAACAAATTTTAGTCTCATCCAAGGAGAAAAAATGACCCCCTTATTTCCCAGAAGTAAGAAAACTAAAGTACAATTTTAAGCAGCATTCACAAAAAGATTTGATCAGGAATAATCAAAGGTACACTTGAGTACCAATCGAATATCACAAAGTGAAGATGTTAAAAATTAACGAAATATATTTAATTATTTTAGATTGCAGTCTAAAATTAAATATTTATTATAGTATTTCCCGGTTTCATCCATTATGGCAAAATTTAACTAGATTATTGGCACCCTGTTTTAATTATTGCTACGAAAGCTAAATAGTTAGCAAAGATGGCAATCTTGATGCGAATAAAGCACGACTATGCATAAAAAGGCTAAAATAAATACAAAATAGAAGTTTTAATTGTGTTTTCACATATTATTGATTTTAATAGTGAAAGTAATGAATTTTGCTCATAACTGCAAAATTATGACCTTGAATGTCCTTGATTTTGATCTGTTCACTCTTGGCGCACAGGTTAATTGTGATATCAAATAAAGAGTAAATTTTAACTGGCTCAAGTATTATCATTATTCGTTTACATGCCATATTTATTATCATGCATAATTTTATGCTCTTATTACGACCCTGCTGAAGAGCGAATATCTTAAACTAAGAGTTGTTTTCAAAGTTTATATACTGCAATAATTTTATCAATTGATTTTGAGTATACTTATCAATATTTAATTTGTTCACTTGATTTCGGTACTCAACTTTAAAGTTATATACATTGCTTTCTTTGTTTGGAGCGTTTGTATTTTAGTGAACATTTTTATAAATTTCAGAAAATGTTAAATTATCGCTACGTTTTTGCAACGGCCATAGTAATTTTCGGTGCTTCATTTCAATTTGGTTTTCAAACTGGAGTCATTAACAGTCCCACACCTGTAAAAAAGTTTCTGATGTTTTATCGTATCTTTCACATTTAGCTTATCAAAGCCTTTATTATCGAAGTATGCGAAAAGAGGTCTGGCAATCTCCCTTCCACACAATATGTAGATGCAATGAGCAGCCTCGTCGTCGCTGGCTTTCCCGTAGGAGGAATTTTTGGAGCTATATTTGGTGGTTCTGTTTCAAATAAAATGGGCCGGTATTTTACATTTTTATCCTCTCTAACTATTTTTACATAGAAAGCTATCTCTTTTCATCTTCAACGTTCCAATGATTGTGGGTTCTCTCCTAATGATGGCCTGTCAAGCAGCAGTAAGTTTTGAGATGATAATAGTTGGACGTATTCTTGTCGGTTTTGCTTGCGGTGCCTTTACGAGTATTGCACCAGTCTACTTATCTGAAATCGCTCCAATTAACATCCGTGGAATTTCCGGAATAATGCATCAACTTGCGGTTGTTTGTGCAATCCTCCTCTCACAGATTTTTGGTCTTCGGGAATTGATGGGCACCCCAACAATCTGGCCCTATCTTCTTGGCCTCACACTCATTCCTTCTGGTGTTCTACTCTTCTGCCTCTGGATATGTCCCGATAGCCCTCGCTATATTCTTCTCCACAGTCAGAATTTAGAAGGGGCTAAATCAGCTCTTCGGTGGTTCCGTGGTCCGAATTCGGAAATTATTGATGCTGAAATTGAAGAGTTACTGGCTGAACAGGAGGGACATCATGGTGAAGAAGTGAATGTAAATTGCTCGTTTTCCATTATTCTTTTTTCTAGAAATTTTCGTTTAAAGACCTCTTCCGAAGTAAAGCCTTGAAGACTGCTTTATTTGTGGCTGTAGTAGCTCATTTGGCACAACAATTCTCTGGAATTAATGCTGTAAGTATTCGCGTTGTAATTACATATTACCTTTTTATTTAACAACGAAGTGTTCAGAGATGCATTAGTGTATCTTTTTTTTAGGATCAAATCGCTAAAATAGTCAAAATTTTGTAGAGTAGGTATAATTAGAGTTTTGGTAAAAAATATATTTATGTTCATAGTCAGGTATGTTAAAATTTTGTATAAATAAATCCTATTTAAAGGAAAAACTCATTTTAACCATTATTAATGCATCACATTTTTTCAATCTCTTAAAAATATTTATTAGGATATGATATCTTTTCCCCTGTCTCTTTTTTTGCATCTTTCGCTTAAGTGGTATTTTTTGAACTCCAGTTTAAGAATGCATTTGAAGTTTCAGGACACCATCCACCACCTCTTATGCTTCTTGAAACATATGAGATATGCTTTAAGTTGACTCTGTTACAAAACTTGCTACTCTATTTAAGCCTTTTCCTGCCTCTGGTCAAAAGCCTTCCAAGAATTATTACGTAGAAATAAAATTGCTTTAGACTATTTCTCTTCGGCAAAATTACTTTCAATAGTATGCCAATAGCATAAAAATTATTACAATTCAGTGAAATTTCTTTTGTTATTAGGCTCTCTTCTATTCTACATCATTGTTTGAGGCAATCGGACTTAAAACAGAAGCTGTTTACGCCACTCTCGGAGTTGGTTCAATGATGGTTTTCATCACAATTGTCTCCATCTTTCTTATTGAACGAGTTGGACGGCGAATTCTTTTTATCGGAGGTCTTGGAGTCATGTTGTTCAGTGCTATTATCATTACAATTTCTCTTACACTTCGAACCCTGGCTCCTTGGCTTGTGTTTCTTGCTATGACCTTCATTTACATATTTGTTGGTGGCTTCGCTATTGGAACAGGTGAGCTAATTTTGGCTATCTAAATCTTTTTCAGAATTGTAAATCGATTCATCGGAACTTTTACTTCTGGTGTAGGCTCTATTCCATGGTTCCTTGTTGCCGAGATGTTTGTTCAGGAGACTCGTGATCCTGCGGTTGTTATCACTGTCATTGTCAACTGGGTCGGTCAGATCGTCATTAGTCTTGGCTATCCACCGCTTCTGGTAAGTTTGGGTTCAAATTTATATATCGGTCTTGTTAGGCCAATGATCTTCCCAACTTTACAAGCTTCTGTTCCATAAGGCATACAGGGTAAAGTTCAACGCGCATGAGCTCAATGTGAAGGAAATTGCTAAAAAATTTAAAATGGGGGGGGGGCATAATTCATGCGATGAAGAATTCACATTTAGGATAAAGCAGAAAATGAGCTTAGTTTGAGTTGCCTTTTTTTCCATCTTTTTTTACGCCATTCTTTAGTCTAGCAATGTTCGACAAAAGAGAGATCTAATCGTGAGCGCCTTTCCTCAGTTTAAGATTATTCCATTTGCCTGTTCAAACAAATATAGACCAAAAATTATACCAAGATGTGATTTGGTTAAGACATGCTATCTCTCTCTCTCCCTCACTCTGAGACTTTGTACGTGATTGTCAATACCTTTTGCTGCTGTTGGTCAATTAACGAACTATATAATATTAATACTGTGTTGGGAGAGCGATCAAAGCTTCAATGCAAAACCTGCATGAATTCCGATATGGAACTGTAGGTTCGTGTTCTTTCCTCTTTCAGAAATATCTGGAGGACTACTCCTTTGTGCCCTTTATTGGTCTGTTGGCAATCTTCATTGGTCTCCTTTACTATTTCCTTCCCGAGACGAAGGGCTTAACTCCACGCGAGGTCCAGGATGAATTTGTCAGAATGACTGGCGGCGATGAAGAAATCGACATGTCTCCCACTTCTCACTCTCGATCCACTCCCAGTGCCAATTCTACTCGTTAGTCGATACTACTTATATGCATTTCAGCAGTTAGCGATGCATGCCAAGTTAGGTTGAAGTGAATTGAAGAAATAGCGGTTAGGAGTGGTAACATGGAGATTAGATTAGAGAATAAGAAAGGCATTCGGAACTTAAATCCATCTGAACAACTTGGTAATAATTGTTGCAACATTCTAGATCGAAGCAGTGGTTATTTTCAATGAATTAAATTATTTGGCATCGATACTCGATTGCTGTGGTTATGACATGTGTGTGAGTCGTTGCCATTTAGTAAAATTCTAGTAGACCTCTGAGGGCATCATTAGGCTCAAATTTACTTATTTTATTACTGTTCGAAGCCGATCTTCCAGTCGTCGCATACTATTGTGTTGTGGCTTCCACTCATTTGATCACGGGTTCTGAGGGTGCTAAGATTATCCTTTTACCTGGTGTGTGTGTGTGTGTATCGCTGATTATTGTTTCACTAGTCTTCTATAATTGCCTCTTAATTTCAATTCTCGTCTTTCGGTCTTTAGATGAAGAAGAAGAAGGCTCCAGCAATGTCAAGTAGACGCAATGGAAGAGTCCGATAATTATTGTTTGTGATATGTTTGCGATCCATTTTATTCTTGATCTCATTATTTTCACTTAAACTATGCCAATAAAATTTGTCTCAAGAAGTATTAGAAATTGTAATCTGAAAGAAACAATATATTTTTGCTGTTCTTAAAGAAGTGAAAATCGTATTAAACCGGTTAACTTCCGGTTTTAAATGGGATAGTATGAAGATATGAGCTGCTGGATAGCATGAAATATAATTATTATATCAAATGGCAGGCGTTTTGAATGTTATCATTAGCCCTTTAGTTGACTTCAGTCTTCACAGAGGGGAAGGAACATCAAAGTGTAAAAAATTCAAGAGGGGGGGGGGAACAGAAGAGTGTATCAAAGACGAAGGTAGATAAGGTAGAAAAAAGGTGAGATGAGTACTGTGAAAGGGGTCGAATATGACATACATTGGGGTCATGGTAATTTGACGTGAGAAGTCAACTGCCGATTAATAGACTTTTTTGCCCAGGGTGCACCACGTGGAGGAAAGTCTATCACACACCCCAGCATGAAATATAATTATGTCTTCTAAATTCTTGAGAGAAAAGTGGAGTAAAGCAGCAAGACCACCCCTCCCAGAGTAAATAAGCACTGGCCATCGTAGACAAGCGTTTTCTCCTCACTTCACCCAACTAGTTCCATGAAAATCGACTTTCAGAACGAGAACTACGGAGTAAATATTGAATGACCCGTGTCCAAAAGCGGAATGAAGGAAGAATTCCATCTGGACGTTGCTATTCGGTGTCAGTTGTTTTCGATAATTAAAAATTCTCCCATGACAAAGACGAAGTAGGCTGAGAATTTAAGTTGGCAGGACTCCATAGGCCATTGTATACATTTGCATGGCGAT